GTGTTGAAGTTAGCAAATATCAGTTATGTTTTTTAATTTGTAACTGTTTTTTTTTTTTTAGTTTTCTGCAGTTAAGGTCTATGGTTTCTGGTAGTTTTCTTTTGTAAAACTAATATGTACGAGTTGCTTATATTTTTAGCAACTCTTATGTCTTGATATATTCATCTGAAATGAAAAGAGAGCTCCATATCAGAGAAGCTCTTGTTCTGAAAGTTTCTGGTTCTGCAGTTTCTGTTCTTTTACTATGCTGAAAAAACTTACAGATGCAACCAAGGAAGAAACAACTAGAAAATCTCATCCTAATTTGCAAGAATCTAGCAGAGGTTGGATTTTTTTTATCACGCTGTTTTTGTTGTTCTCCCAAATTAAATTTCCTTGCTGTACCATACATCTTGTTCATTTATTTTTCACACCCTTATGGCAATTGATATCTCAATTGACAGGCAGGATGGTCTTACCTTTTGAACCCTTAACGGTAGTCTTTCAGGATTTGCAGTATTGTGTCGATATTCCTTTGGTAACCAGTCATTTCTTTCATTCAATGCTCTCAATACTTGATATTTTGGGGTCATTCCATGTACAATGCACGTTTCGATTTTATTCTTGACTTTTTCCTCTTGGTATTGGGAAATGAAGGAAGAGGGGCTGAATCAGAAAAAACTACAGCTTCTTTCAGATGTCACTGGTGCCCTCAGACCTGGTGTTCTTACAGCATTGATGGGCGTCAGCGGAGCAGGGAAAACAACTCTTCTGGATGTTCTTGCAGGAAGAAAAACTATTGGGAATATTAAGGGAGAGATAAAAATTGGAGGCTACCCTAAGGTTCAAGAAACTTTTGCTAGGATCGCTGGCTATTGTGAACAAACTGACATACATTCCCCTCGACTCACTGTGGAAGAATCTGTAACCTTTTCTGCTTGGTTGCGTTTGGCTCCTGAAATTGACTCAAAGACTAAAGCTGTAAGAGATGTCATGTTTTACTGTTTATTATTTAGTGTTACTAAGATAATCTGCAACTTTGTTCTATGGAATACATGATAGGAATTTGTAGATGAAGTCCTGCAGACCATTGAGCTTGGTGAAATTAAGGATGCATTAGTTGGCATTCCTGGGGTTAGTGGGCTATCCATTGAGCAACGAAAGCGCCTTACAATAGCTGTGGAACTTGTTGCCAATCCCTCGATAATCTTTCTGGATGAACCAACAACCGGCCTGGATGCACGAGCAGCAGCCATTGTCATGCGAACTGTAAAGAATGTAGTTGATACAGGAAGAACAATTGTCTGCACGATTCATCAGCCAAGTATTGATATATTTGAAGCTTTTCACGAGGTGAAATTTTCTTTTTCTTTGCCCAAGATTATCAACCAAAAGAGGGTAACAAATGACTAACTAGTGGTTGCATGCATTGAATTTTTGATACATGAGCTGCTTCTTTTTCTTTGACTCTTGGAGTCTTTATCTTAGTAGTCAAAAAGGTTCATCCCTGAGTATAAACTTCTGGAGTCTTTATCTCAGGTCCTGAAGTAATTCTTGGACAACTGAGTGACAAGAACTTCCAACATAAGTCCCAAGTTTTCCATTTAAGTTTTTGCTATATAACATGAAATTGTGCTCCAAGTAGAATGGAGAAAAGAGTTGTTGCGCGACTGACGTTTTGTGTTCATTATAGTTGATTCTTTTGAAAACCGGTGGACACGTAATATACTGTGGACCATTGGGACAACATTCAAGCAGGGTTATTGAGTATTTTGGGGTTAGGTTTGTCATAGAAGTACTTGCAACTTTTTGATTGTCTGTTCTCTTAATTTCTCTTTTGTAATCTACCTCTTACCTGTCCTTGATGCATGTTTTATGAATTTGCTTTTATCAATAGGGTATCTCTGGCGTACCAAAGATTAAAAACAACTATAACCCAGCTACTTGGATTTTGGAAGTCACTTCTCCATCTGCTGAAGCTGAACTCAGTGTGGATTTTGCTCAAATATACAAGGATTCAGCTTTGTGTGAGTGAGTACAATTCATACACTAGTTTTGCTCGTTTCAAATGTTGACATTTTGACACATCAACTATTTTGCTAATCATATGGCACCATATAATGGTATCCGCTTGTTCATGAAGGCTGCAACAGGGCGTAACAAAACTTTCTGTTCTTCCTTTCGCAGGACCAATAAAGAAATGGTAAGGCAACTGAGTATCCCAGCTCCTGGATCCCAAAAGTTGCATTTCCCAACCCGCTTTGCACAAAATGTTTGGGGACAATTCAAATCTTGCCTATGGAAACAGCATTTGTCATATTGGAGAAGCCCTTCTTACAACCTAACGCGCATTATGTATGCGCTTGCCTCATCTTTGTTCTTTGGTGTAGTCTATTGGAACCAGGGACAGAAAATGTGAGTGTATATGCGTAGTTTCTGTATGTACGATATGATATTCAATTCTGTAACTGATGTGTGTTTAAGTGATTCTTGCTTCTCGTAATTTCAGAGACAACCAGCAGAATTTATTCAATATACTGGGTTCAATGTTTATTGCTGTGCTTTTCAATGGCATAAACAACTCATCATCCCCCCATGGGCTTTTGCTTTTGCACAGGTAACTTTTCCTCTTTCTTTTTTTTTTTTTTGTCAAAATTTGCTAAATATGCATACTTGGAGTAAAGGTGCAAATAATTATTTTAACTTTGTATTTTTTTTTATTTAAGAATATTAATTTTATTTATTTCTAAAAAAAGATATCAACTTTTAATTTTTTTTTTAAATAAGGATGTTAACTTTGTTAGTTTCTAAATAAGGATGTTAACTTTCAACATTTTCTATTTAAGGATGTCAATTTTTAACTTTTTATATTTAAAGATTAATTGAATAGTGATGCTTGGCTAACATATTTTTCTAGGTTAAATATCTTAATTGGTCCCTCAACTTTTATTTGAACCAATTCATCCTTGAACTTAAGAAAGTACCAAAAACATCCTTCAACTTCAATTTTCAATTTCGTCTTTCCGTTAGTTAAATGTTGATGTAGCTAATTTTTTTGCTAAGTGATCGAATATTTTACATTTTCAATATTAGGTGGAAAATGATGATTATGTGGATTTTTTTAATTTTAAATAATTTACAAACTACTTTAATTTTTAATTTTACTTTATTCATATTTAAAAATTAAAAAAATTAATATATTTTCCCATTTAATTAGTCCCACCTACCATTTAATAAAATTAAATAAAATTTAATTAATTGTTCCATGAATTAGGAAATAATTTTATTAATTGAAAATTGAAGTTGAAGGACGTTTTTGGTACTTTCTGAAGTTCAAGGATGAATTGGTTCAAAAATAAAAGTTGAGGGACCAATTTAGGTATTTAACCTAAAAAATATGTTAACCACATCAGCATTACTATTCAATTAATTCTTAAATAGAAAAAATTGAATTCTTAAATAGAAAAAGTTTAAAGTTGACATCCTTAAATAGAAAAGATTGAAAGTTGACATTTTTATTTATAAATCGACAAAGTTAACATCCTTATTTAGAAAAAATTGAAGGTTGACATCTTTATTTAAAAACTGACAAATTTAACATTCTTAAATAAAAAAAAGTGCAAAGTTAGAATCCTTATTTGCACCTTTACTCTGCATACTTGATACTCATTTGCATTGCAGGTAATAGTTGAGGTTCCCTATGTACTTATCCAAACTGCTGAATTTGTGATCATCACATAACCAATGATTGGATATTATGCATCCGGTTAAAAGGTTTTTTGGTACTTCTACACAATGTTTTGTTCATTGTTGTACTTCAATTACCTGGGTATGGCACTTTTATCATTGACACCAAATGTCATGGTTGCTGCAATTCTAGCATCATTCTTCTACAAAATATATAACATTTTTTCCGGGTTTGTAATCCCTCAACCGGCAAGCTGCTGCTCACCTAGTAAGGAATACCTGCTAATCATGTTCGAAAGCAATATTATAGCATTGTAACCTTACTCTGTGATTTCATGGAGCAAGAAATTCCGGGTTGGTGGATTTGGATGTATTATATGACTCCTACTTCTTGGTCACTGAGGGGGATGCTTACCTCACAGTATGGTGATATTCATGAGAAGGTGTTGGTATTTGGGGAAACTAAAACGATGGCTTCATTCTTGAAAGATTATTTCGGATTTCAACATGATCAGTTAGCAGTGACTGCAATTATTCTCATGCTCTTCCCAATGGCTTTTGCTTTGCTTTTTGTATTTTGTGTAGGAAGATTAAATTTTCAGAGGAGGTAAAATACTCTATTATATTCAGCTGTGGCATTCCTTTATCCATTGCAGCAAAAGAACGCGTAATTCGAAACTTAATTTGTGTGTACCGTTAAATAAGAGAGTTTAACTTTGTTTTTATATGTACAAATGAATGCTACAGATACAAGAATGGTTGATCTAGTCTATTATTTCACATTATACACTCTAAATCTCTAACACTAGCATCAACTAGACATATCTTTCTCTAAATCAAGAATGCACATTACACTAAAGTTAGAATTTCAACAATAACTTCATGATAGATGTGAAAGTTGGAACTAATGTTATAGGTGTCTGTTTGGGTAGTCTTTGTCCCAAAGAATATTTTTTGGGGAAGCCGTATCTGCTTAGTGCCTGTTTGGTATAGTTTGTTAGAAGTGCCTATCAAGTTTAAGAGCATAAATTATTCAAAACAATCCAACTTTTGAGAATTGCTTGAGCTGGTGAAAAGTTGGTCTTAGCTCTTGTCTTTTGAAAATTGGAGAAGCATGGATTTTGTACTTTCACAGGAGCTTTTGTGCTAATTTAGGGCCTGTTTGTGGCTATAATTTTTGATAGAAGTCTTGTTTGAAAAAATTTATTGTAGAAATTTTGTTTTTAAAAAGTTAAAGGTGTCTGGTAAAATTTTTTACAAAAGAACTTCTACAGTGAAAAGTCATTTGATAAATTCTCTATAAAAAAATCTTTTAATTCAATGTAATGCTAACATGATTGAAATGGACATTTTCTACTTATTGAAATATCACTCCCACTCCATTTTTTATTTTATATTTTCATAGAACTTCAATTTTTTAAAAATATTTTAAGGAAGATGATTAAAAATTGATTATTCATATTTTAAAACGTAAATGCTAAATAAATGCTTATATTTTAATATTAGAAAATAAAACAAGTTACGTTTAAATCACATAAATAAGACAATAAAATTTAAAATTATGCTAAATAATGATCTTAATTGCCTTTTCATTAAAGATAGAGTTATAGAATCTCAAAGTGAAGTCATGCCACGATTTTCCATTGTGCAAAGAAAATTATTTTGAAAAAATTTTCGATTCATGTTCTCTTCCCCAAACACTTTAAGCATATAATTTGACTCATGATCACACATATAAAATTCTTTATCCTTAATTGCATATTGTCTAATATAATTATGAAGTGTAATAGTTGTAGCTACTAGTTTCCTTGGTATTGTGAATGAATAATTTTGCGTATTGGGTAATATTTCAAATCTATTTTTCCAACACCCAATAGATCATTTAATGAAATTTTTAAGACAAATGTGAGCATGGTTGAATACTTCTTGATGACCCATTGGTTGGCTTTCATGTCTAAAATCAAGAATGTGATACCGTTATCCTTTATAATGTGCCAACTATCCTTTTATATTAGGACAACCAATGAAAATGTGCTTAAAAATTCATTAAAATTGTGCTAAAAAACTATAATACAAAATAAATAGAAAATTATTACCATCAAGAGGATAAGAGAACACATCCTTATGCTTTTCCAATGTGTTGGTGAAAACACATTCATAATGAATAAATCCAAGCCACCCAATAACTACAAATGTAAATAACATGTCAAAATTGCAAACTACCATCACATTTTGAGTGGTAATGCCTTTTCAACCTTTAAATGGTACATGGTCTTCAATTGAGATTATGGCTTTAACATGCATACTATCAATTGCACCAATACATCCTTTAAAATGAGGCCAAAATTTATTATCTTGTCTAATCTTATTGGGAGTTTCAGTAAAATTATAATCAAGTAGTTTCACAATGTCATTTGAAAACTTCACCATTGCATCAAGAACCTCACCAAATTTTTTGCTTACTATTTCTCCCAAATGTTTAAAACAATTTGGCATATTGCGATTAGATTGGTTATGTGCACATGTCTAAAGAAACATTGCAAGAGATTCTTCTACACACATTTCTCTTGTTGAAGTTAGGCCATAATTGTTAACTAACAAAGGATATAATCCCCTAAAAACATGTAGTTTCATTCTAAATATTCTATAACTCTCACTTAGAGTTACCAATGTCTTTTCCATTGATTGCCAACCTGAAGGTCTTAAAAGTCTTGTTTTTTGTTTATTAAGGTATTTTGAAATATATCTTAAGAATGTTGAATTATTTAATGAAATAAGAGAATAAAAGACATTATCTTTTTTTTTGTCTAACTTCCACCTCCTTCTATCTTTGTTCAATAGCTTCTTTCTCCATCTCATCATCATCACTATTTTGTTCCTCCATCTCACACTCATCACTATTTTCAAAATTCCACCTTGAATCTAAATCCATCTACCAAGAAAAAGAAAACATTAAGAGAAAAGATGATCACAACAAACAAGTCTAATTATTTTTACAACAACATTTAATCCATAATAAAATAAAAATATTGCTTTTTTATCTTTCTTTTAACTTGATCAATAAATAAACTTGGGAGAAGGATATAAATTGAACTCTTAGCGTCTTAACAAGGAAATTGAACTCTTAGAGTCTTAACAAGGCAAAGTGAATTTTAACTTAAGTGAAGGACGATAATTATTGTCAATAGAATAGAACAAATAAATAAGAAGTGAATGAGGGAGTTTGGAGTCCTTAATGCAATCAACAAATTTATCTATTAGTTGAGAAAGCATTGAAGTAGGAATTAATGTAATGCATTTGCCACAACTACTTGACTTGGAAACTTAGAGTAAATTACTTTCAATTAAGTCCCTGTTTAAAGTTATAGTTGATTGAAACAAATAGGTGGTTGGTTAATAGGTATTCAAAAATGTGGTTTGGATGAAAAATGTTAGTGTTTTTATTTTTATTTTTTGTTCTATTTGATTGGCCAATCTCTTCTAAAGGTAGAGGAATCTGTTGTTTTTTTTGGATGCTTGCCTTCCATCCCCTTTCATACAAGATGAGAGACCTTTTTTGTGATGCCTCACTTTAATCCCTTTTCATATAGGACAAGTCCATCTTTTTTGGATGCCTCACTTTCATCCCTTTTCATACAAGACGAGAACCCTTTATGAAAATGTATACTTTCACTTCTTTTTATAAGTTGACACAAGACTTGTCTTGAGATAAATACTTTCACCCCTTTTTATAAGTTGAGATAGGACCTATGTATTTAATGTGTGTTTGACTTGTGTTAACTTCAAATAAAAATTAACTTTTATACTAAAAACCTAATAACAACCTTGCTCAATAGGAAGCCCTAATTTACCTTCAAAATCACC